CTTTATCACCACTCTTATTCAGCATTGTGCTGGAGGTCCTAGCCAGAGCAATTAGGCTAGAAAAAGAAATAAAGGACATTCAAATTAGTAAAGAAGAAGTAAAGTATCCCTATTTACTGATGATATGATCTTATACACAGAAAACCCCAAAGAATCCACAAGAAAACTGCTGGAACTAATAGAAGATTTCAGCAAAGTATCAGGACCCAAGATAAATACACAAAAATCAGTTGGATTCCTCCACACTAACAAAGAGAACTTCTGAGAGGAAATCACCAAATCAATACCATTTGCAATAGCCCCCAAGAAGATAAAATACTTCGGAATAAATCTAACCAGAGACATAAAAGACTTATACAAAGAAAACTACAAGATACAAGTGCAAGAAAGCAAAAGAGACCTACATAAATGGAAAAACATACCTTGCTCATGGAAAGGAAGACCCAATACTGTGGAAATGTCAATTCTACCCAAAGTGATCTACAGATACGATGCAATCCCGATCAAAACGCCAATGACATTTTTTAACAAGATGGAGAAACAAATCACCAACTTCCTGTGGAAAGGGAAGAGGCTTCGGATAAGTAAAGCATTACTGAAGATGAAGAACAAAGTGGGAGGCCTCACACTACCCAGTCTTACAACCTGTCATACTGCCACGGTAGTCAAAACAGCCTCGTACTGGTACAACAACAGATACACATACCAATGGAACAAAATTGAGAACCAAGATGTAAAATCATCCAGCTATCAGCAGCTGATATTTGACAAAGGCCCAAAGTCTGTTCAATGGGGAAATGACAGTCTCTTTAACCAATGGTGCTGGCATAACTGGATAACCATCTGCAAAAAAACGAAACAAGACCCATGCCTCAAACGATGCACAAAAACTAACTCAAAATGGATCAAAGACCTAAATATAAAATCTAAAATGATAAAGATCATGGAAGAAAAAATAGGGACAATGCTAGGAGCCCTAATACATGGCATAAACATAATACAAAACATTACTAACAATGCACAAACACCAGAAGAGAAACTGGATAACTGGGAGCTCCTAAAAATCAAACACTTATGCTCATCAAAAGACTTCACCAAAAGAGTAAAAAGACAACCTACAGACCAGTAAAAAATTTTGACTACGACATATCCAACCAGGGTCTAATCTCTAAAATCTACAAGATACTGCAAAACTTCAACCACAAAAAGACAAGCAACCGATTAAAAAATGGGCAAAGGATATGAACAGGCACTTTGCCAAAGAAGACATTCAGGCAGTTATCAGATATGTGAGGAAATGCTCAGGATTGTTAGCCATTAGAGACATGCAAATCAACAGTGCAGTGAGATACCATCTTACCCCAGCAAGGCCTTAATCCAAACACGAAATAATAAATGTTGGAGAGGTTGTGGAGAGGCTGGAATATTTATACACTGCTGGTGGGAATGTAAAATGGTACAACTACTTTGGAAATCAATTTGGTGCTTCCTTAAAAAGCTAGAAAAAGAAGTACCACATCATCCAGCAATCCCATTCCTTGGAATATATCCTAAAGAAATAAGAGCCGTCACACGAACAGATATATATGCACACCCGTGTTCACTGCAGCACTGTTCACAATAGCAAAAAGATGGAAACAACCTAGATGCCCATCAATGGATGAATGGATAAACAAATTATGGTACATTCATACAACAGAATACTACGCGATGATAAAGAACAAAGATGAATCCGCCAACCATCTCATAACATGGATGAATCTGGAAAGTATTATGCTGAGTTGAAATCAGTCAGTCGCAAAAGGACAAATATGGTATGAGACCACTAGTATTAGAACTCAAAAAAAAGGTTTAAACACAGTAGAAAACATTCTTTGATGGTTATGAGGGTGGGGAAGGAGGGAGAGGGGAATTCACTAACTAGATAGTAGATGAATTATTTGGTGAAGGGAAGGATAACACACACTACAGGGGAAGTCAGCTCAACTGGACTAAACCAAAAGCTAAGAAGTTTCCTGAACACAACAAAACACTTCAAGGGATGGTGTAGCAGGGGCGGGAGTCTGGGCATCATGGTTTCAGGGGACATCTAGGTCAACTGGCATGACAAAGTTTATTAAGAAAATGTTCTGCATCTCACTTAGGTTAAGTGGCATCTGGGGTCTTAAAAGCTACCAAGTAACCATCTAAGATGCATCCATTGGTCCAAACCCACCTGGAGCAAAGGAGAATGAAGAACACCAAAGAAACAAGGAAAATATTAGTCCAAGAGATAAAGGGGGCCACATAAACCAGAGACTCCATCAGCCTGAGACTAGAAGAACTAGATGGTGCCTGGCTATCCCCAATGACTGCCCTGACAGGGAACACAACAAAGAGTCTCTGATGGAGCAGGAATAAAGTGGGTTGCAAAACTCAAATTCTAGTAAAAAGACCAGACTTAATGGTCTGACTGAGACTGGAGGAACCCTGCAACATGGCCCCCAGACTCTCTGTTAACCCAGAACTAAAACCATCCCGAAGCCAACTCTTCAGACAAAGAATAGATTGGACCGTAAGACGTAAAATGATACTCAGGAAGAGTGTGCTTCTTAGTTCAAGTAGATACACGAGACTAAACGAGCAGCTCCTGTCCCAAGGAGAGACGAGAAGGCAGAAAGTGATAGGAGCTGTCTGAATGGACAGGGGAAATTGGGTGGAAAGGAGGAGTGTGCTGTTACATTATAGGGAATAACAACTAGGGTCATATAACAATGCATGTATAAATTTTTGTATGAGAAACTAACTTGAGATATAAACTTTCACCTAAAGCACAATAAAAAAAAAAAAATCATCGATGGTACTGAAAGATGTCCAAGGTGCACTGAAGGCATTGGCAAAAAACAAGGCTCCAGGAATTGGAATACCAATTGAGATGCTTCAACAAACACATGCAATGCTGGAGGTGCTCACTTGTCTATGCCAAGAAATTTTGAAGACAGCTGCCTGGGCAACTGACTGGAAGAGATCCGTATCTGCGTCCATTCTGAAGAAAGATGATCCAACAGAATGTAAAAATTATCGAACAATATCATATGAAAGTAAAATTATGCTGAAGATTATTCAAAAGCGATCGCAGCAGAACATCGACAGGGAACTCCAGAAATTCAAGCAGATTCAGAAGAGGACATAGAATGAGGGATATCATTAATGATATCAGATAGATCTTCGCTAAAAGCAGAAGAACCAGGAAGATATTTACTTGTGTTTTGTTGACTACACAAAGGCATTTGACTGTATGGATCATAACAAATTATGAATAACATTGCAAAGACTGGGAATTCCAGAACACTTAATTGTGCTCATGAGGAACCTGCATATAGACGAAAAGGCAGTCATTCAAACAGAGCAAGGGGATGCTGAGTGGTTTAAAATCAAGAATGGTGTGTGTCAGGGTTGTATCCTTTCACCATACTTATTCAATCTGTATGCTGAGAAAATAAGCCGAGAAGCTGGACTATATGAAGAACCACCTGTTATATGCATATGACACAACCTTGGTTGCTGAATGTGAAGAGGACTTGAAGCACTTGCTGATGAAGATCAAAGATTACAGCCTTCAGTAGGGATTCCACCTCAACATAAAGAAAACAAAAACTCTCACAACTGGACCAGTAAACAACATCATGATAAATGGAGAAAATATTGAAGTTGTCGAGGATTTCATTTTACTTGGATTTACAATCAGCACTCATGGAAGCAGCAGTGAAGAAATCAAACAATGCGCTGCACTGAGCAAATCTCCTGCAGAATCTCTCTTTAAAGTGTTAAAATCAAAGATGAAACTTTAAAGACTAAGGTGTGCCTGTCCCAAGCCATGGTATTTTCAATCGTCTCTGATACATGTAAAAGCTCGATAATGAATAAGGAATACTGAAGAAGAACTGATGCCTTTGAATTATAGTGTTGGTGAAGAATAGTGAATATACCGTGGACTGCCAGAAGAACAAACAAATCTGTATTGGAAGAAGTACAGTCAGAATACTCCTTAGAAGTGAGGATGGCGAGACTTTCACATACTTTCCACATGCTATTAGGAGGGACCAGTCCCTGGAGACTCTTAAAGCAGAGGGTCAGTGAAAGAGAGAAAGACCCTCAACGAGATGGACTGACACGGTGGCTGAAACAAGGGCTCAAGCATAGCAACGATTGTGAGGATGGCAGAGGACCGGGCAGTATTTTCTTGTTGTACAAGGAGTTGCTGTGAGTCGGAACCAACTGGACGAAATGTAACAACAATAAAGACCTTCAGGAATATCCTGATCCTTCTTCTCCCGCACCAATGTACTTAAACCTCAAACTCAGTACCTGAAAGGATCATTACATGCAAATATTGTTCAATTACTTCTTTCCTACTCATTTTTTTTCATACAAACAGATTTTGGTATATATCTATCAGAATTTCCAACATAAAGGTTAAACATTTCCATTGAAGCAAAGGATGTAAAAGGGCTCAGATCTGGTTGTTGTTGGTGGTGGTTGCCATCAAGTCAATTTCGACTCATGGCAATTCCACGGCTGTGACCTTTCAGAAGTAGGTCACCAGGCCTGTCTTCTAAGGTGCCTCTGGGTGAGTTTGAACCACCAGCCTTTAGGCTAGTAGTTGGCTGCTTAACCATTTGTGCCACCTGGGGACTCCTTCAGATCTGGTATCCACTGTATAATTTTCTCTTCCTTTGGGTTAGAGTTAAAATGTCAAAGGAAAAGGGAAAGTATAAAAGCAAATACGTCAGTAGGGATTTAAGTATGCAAGAGCTGACAGGTCTGAATAAAGAAATGAGCAATCCTGAAGAAATTTGTTTCTGAGCTTGTTACTGAGGATTAGTTTATAAATCATCTTTAAGAGCAAACAGATAGCAATTCAGGATTGAAAGCACACAGACAGATACAGAGATTTAAGCAGGTAACTAAGAAGTCTCCATCAAAAACAGGTGCCCCCCCGCAAAAAAAAGAGTCTATACCTTCGTTCCCTCAAAGCCAAACCCTTTTTAATCAAATATCTAGAAACATCAATGCGTTCTCCTTTTTCATCTCTGCAGAAAATTTTCACAGGTAATGGCCACATTGTGTTGTTTTCCTGGAGTGATTTAAGAGTAGAGAAATATGAGACACAAAAATGAAATATTCTTATAAATTATATATATACATAAAATAGAAGAATAGCATGGAAGACAGTCAAAGGGGACAGACAGTTTAGTAAAAAGCACCAGGAAAACCTTACTATTAAGGTGGAAATTCCCACCCCCCGCCAAAAAAAAAGGAAACAGAATGAAAACTTCTGTTTTCACCCCAAAATAAAACAAAACTAAACCCACCAGTTGTAACTTTCTCTATTCCCCTAAACTGTTTGCAAATTTTAGGATGCAAAATATATTCCAAAGTGTGCCTTTTTTCCTACCAAAAGCAAAAGAAAAGAAGAACTACAGAATGTATATTCTGCTGCGTATGGAAAAATTACAAAACTGGAGAAACTACATAGAAAGAAATAAGTAATTTGGGAAAATGAGTTATATGGAACATTCTAATCATTAATGCAATAAAACATATTTAAATTAGAAAAAAATGGAGGCAAAGAATGTAAGTGTTCTCTAAAGATACAGCTCTCTTCTCATATACAGACACGCACACACGTGCGCACGCACATATCTTTTACATAGTATAATTTTACTAGAAGCTTAACTTTCCATTTTTCAAAGAATATCAAAACCCTTAAGCTTCAGAAATACTCTAGCATACCTATGCTATGTTTTTTTTTTAATATGCACATTATCAACTCAAGAATATTACTTTAGAAATGTTTGATTCATTCACACAATCATTTATGGTACATGTATTATCGAACAGGCATTATACCTTGAGATAAGACCAACAAAGGTTACCAAAAACTCCAAATAGTTTGTGGTTATTTTCTCAACAAGAAAGAAAATACATGGAATTGATTACAACATCAATGACATAGTCAGTACATATCTATTGTAACAGTTTACCCCACTATACACCTGTATGATTATAGTTGCTACGGCTCCAGTTAGGTACAATGAAAGACAGTCACAAGCTGTTGCTGTCCACTTGTCACTCCCACCAGTTGGTCTAAAAGAAAAAAACAATGACATCTGGTTTTATAACAAAAAGCATAGTATATCTAAATATAAAAGAACAAACCACTTCACATATCTGAACCAACTAAATATGCAGTGAGAAATCAATTTAAATATGCTTTAATGTTATTTTCAAAATTTCCTTCCCCATTTTCATACCATTTTATCCATCCCTCTATTTATGTTACATATTATTTATGTATGTCTATTGTGCAGCTACATTGAGAAACCCTAAAAAGTGGGTATATTTTTAGTATTTTTAACCATTATAAATGTTTCATGTATGTGAACTAGACTACAAACTGCAGGAGAGCAGGGATGATATGTTACATTATGTCCATCATTATATCCCTAATGCCTAATATAGCGCCTGGCACACAGAAGGCACTCCAAACATTTTATTTTTAACATGCATTGTCGAAAGTGCTCAATAAATATTTATTGACAGATCAATGAAAAGCAGAAAGTACAATTTCATCATCCATCTTAGTCTGCAGAGTCTAAACATGATGATTTTGGATGTTTTCTAAACATCAAATCTAGCCCCAAAGAATAAAGAACTAGTACCACTGAAGAATGAGGAATTGGCGGTTCACTGGTAGAATTCTCATCTTCCATGTGGGAGATCGGGGTTCAATTCCTGGCCATGCACCTCATGCACAGCCACCACCTGTCTGTCAGTGGAGGCTTGCTATGACACTGAACAGATTTCAGCAGAGCTTCCAGACTAAGACAGACTAGGAAGAAAGGCCTGGCGATCTACTTCTGAAAATCAGCCAATGGAAACCCTATGGGCCACAAGGAACTGATTCATAACCGATCATGGGAATGGTGCATGACTGGGCAGTGTTTCATTCCATTATGCATGGGGTTATGAAGAGGCAGGGGCCGACCTGATGGCAGCTACTGACAACAACAACCACTAAACAGATTACAAGTAATCACAGGCTCTGGAGGCTCTATAAACATAATTTCTAGATCTAGAGTTTCACTGGATTTGACCTATCAATTGAGTAAATAACTGACTGGTCAATCTTTTCATGTTAAATGATTTATATGCATGAACTAACCAAATCAACTGGGCATGCAGCTTTGCCAAATAGGACTTGGTATATACAACACTATTTATTAAGAAGCTCCATCTCCATACAATGGAACACTATGCAACCATAAACAACAATGATGCAGGAGACAGGGCCAAGATGGCAGAGTAGTCAGATGCTTCCTGTGGTCCCTCTTACAACAAAGACCTAAAAAAACAAGTGAACCGATTATATATGATAATCTAGGAGCCCTGAACATCAAAGGCAAAGTTGAGGAATCAGACTGAGTGGCAGGGGGAGGGAGAGACAGTTTAGAAGCAGCGAGGAGTTGCCATCTCTGAAATTTGTGGGAGCCGGAGCCCTTCAGGCTGGACTGGTTCGCATATGTGGTGAGATAAGCAGTGGCTCTGTAGTCTAGTGGCGTTTTCCATGTCAGGAGAGACCCAGCAGCCAAGAGTCTACCAGGCGTACAAAACCTGTGAAAAGCGGCCCTCAGTCAGCAAAAGATAAGTACTTGCATATGGCGTGGATCAAAAACCACCCATTTTGGAAAAACCTCTCTCCCATTTTCCTCCCTGCTCCTTGCTCTGCACCGGGTCCAGGATAGCTTCAACAATCGCTACATTCCCTGGGCTGGAAGTAGGACCCATCATGCGCTCTAAGCCATTCTCCCGGCCTTGGAGAGGGAACAAATTAACAAACAGGGAAAAAATAGTCTGCCGGCTCCCCTAAGCTAGGAACTCAGGGTAGGCACAGCTCCTTTCCCTAGGCACAGGCATAAGGGGTCCATGGACCTTGAGTGCCTTTCACCCCTGTGTAGACCTGTGTAGGCTCATTTCAACAGCGTAGGCCCTCATTAGCACAGCACAACAGGGTATACACCTGAAGTCTAACTTCAACAGTTTCAGCTGTGAAGTGGCAGGTTCATGACATTTGACACTGCTCTACCCATTAAGCAGGGTCCTCAGCTACCCACATCAGGGGGCTGAGGACTAGTGGCTCCACACACGCCACCTAGCCACCTGTGACAAGGGTCCAAGAATAAGTGGTGCCCCCTAATCCTTACAACCAACAGCACTGGGTGCTCATAGTCCACCTGTAAGACCCACCAACCTATGCACTATAGGGAACAGGGACACGCTTTCTTCCCAGTCACGTGCAGCCGTCAGCCCCCTGCCTTGCTCAGCATGTGACCCCTTACTGCAGCCAGAAAACTGTGCCTACACCAATCACCCATGCCTGTCTAGGACTGTAGGTGAGAACCTGCACCACATACTTGGTGACCGACTACGTGGACAACTGAGCTAAATCTATACAAGAAAAGTAAATGTACTCCTAGCCTCATACACTTAGGAAAAGATCTAACCACCTAGAGACAGGATGTTAGAGCTTCAAAGGCACCAATAATCAGACTAGCTCACACGAGCAGCCTATTCAGGCACATCAAAACAAAATAAAGCAAGAAGCTAGGACACAGTAAGTAAACGTAAAATAAATATAGTAAATTATTGATGGCTTGGAGACAACAGTCAATATAAAATCACACAAAGATGCAGACCATGATGGCTTCAGCAAGCTAGCTACCAAAATAATCAAGAAATTTTCCAGAGGAAGAGAATTTCTTGGAATTACCAGAGGCAGAATACAAAAGATTAATATACAGAACTCTTCAAGAGATCAGGAAGGAGATAAAGCAAAATGTGGACCTTGCTAAGGAACACACAGACAAAACAACAGAGGATCTTAAGAAGGTTATTCAAAAGCACAATGTCAAATTTAAAAGGCTGCAAGAATCCACAGAGAGACAACAATCAGAAATCCAGATTAACAATAAAATTTCAGAATTAGACAACTAAATAGAAAGTCATAGGAGCAGAATTGAGGCAATAGAAGTCAGAATTAGTGAGACCGAAGATAAAGCACTTGACACCAACTTATTTGAGAAAAAAAATCAGATAAAAGAATTTAAAAAAAATGAAGAAACTCTAAGAATTATGTGGGACTCTATCAAGAGGAATAACCTACGAGTGACTGGAGTACCAAAACGGGGGGATGACAGAAAATACAGAGAGAATTATTGAAGATGTCTTGGCAGAAAACTTCCCTGATGTAATGAAAGATGAGAACATATCTATCCAAGATGCTCATTGAACCCCACATAAGACAGATCTCAAAAGAAAGTCATCAAGACATATTATAACCAAACTTGCCAAAACTGAAGATAAAGAGAGAATTTTAAGAGTGGCTAGGGAAAAACAAAAGTCACCTACAAAGGACAGTCAATAAGACTAAGCTCGGACTACTCAGCAGAAACCATGCAGGCAAGAAGATAACAGGATGACATATATAAAGCCTTGAAGGAAAAAAAATTGCCAGCCAAGAATTATATATCCAACAAAACTGTCTCTCAAATATGATGGCAAAATTAAGGCATTTCCAGATAAACAAAAGTTTAGGTAATTTGCAAAAACCAAACCAAAATTAAAAGAAATACAAAACAAGTCCTCTGATTAGAAAATCAATAACAACCCAAAACTGAACAAAGGACAGAGCAACCAGGTATCAATCCAGATAGGGAAATCAGAAAAATAAATCAAAGCTAAAACACCGAAAATAGGGAAATAGAGATGTCAACATGTAAAAGATGACAACATTAAAACAAAAATGAGGGACTAAAAAATGCAGACATAGATTTTTCATATGGAGAGGAAGTCAAGGTAATATAAAGAAATAAAAGACTGGTTTAAACTTAGAAAAACAGGGGTAAATATTAAGGTAACCACAAAGGAAACTAATAATCCTACAAGTCAAAATAAAAAACAAGAAAAATATAAAGACTCAGCAAATACAAAATCAACAACAATGAAAAATATGAAAAGAAAATACATAAAGAAAAATGACTCAGCACAGAAAATTAAGTAGAACAAAGAAACTGTCAACAACACACAAAAAGACATCAAAATGACAGCACTAAACGCATATCTATCAATAATTACTCTGAATGTAAATGGACTAAATGCACCAATAAAAACACAAACTGTCTGTATGCTGCCTGCAAAGACAAATTATAAAGACACAAACAAACTAAAACTCAAAGGATGAAAAAAAAAATATCAAACAAACGACACTCAAAAAGAGCAGGAGTGGCAATATTAATCTCTGACAAAACAGACTTTAAAGTAAAATCCACCACAAAGGATAAGGAAGGACACTATATAATGATTAAAGGATCAATATACTATGAGGACATAACCATAATAAATATTTATGAACCCAACAAAAGGACTCCAAAATACATAAAACAAACTCTAAAAGCACTGAGAACAGAGATAGACAGCATCACAATAGTAGTAGGAGACTCCAACACAACACTTTTGGCAAAGGACAAAACATCTAGAAACAAGCTCAATAAAGACACAGAAGAACTAAATGCTACAATCAACCAACTTGATCTCATACACATATACCAAACACTCCACCCAACAGCAGCCAAGTATATTTTCTTTTCCAATGCACATGGAACATTCTCCAGAACAGACCACGTATTAGGCCATAAAGCAAGCCTTAACAGAATCCAAAGCATGAAAATATTACAAAGCATCTTTTCTGACCATAAAGCCATAAAAGCAGAAATCAGTAAAAAAGCAAAGAAAAAAATCAAACACATGGAAACTGAATAACACCTTGCTCAAAAACTACTGGGTTATAGAAGAAGTTAAGGATGGAATGAAGAAATTCATAGAATCAAACAAGAATGAAAACACATCCTATCAGAGCCTTTGGGACAAAGCAAAAGAGGTGCTCAGAGGTCAGTTTACAGCAGTAAATGCACACACCCAAAAAGAAGAGAGGGCCAAAACGAAAACATTAACCCTACAACTCGAACAAGTAGAAAAGGAGCAGCAAAAGAAGCCCTAAGGGCAAGAGGAAAGGAAATAATAAGAATCCG